CAAGAAAGGAAAAAGTCACAAATTATCTGTGCTTAGGATTTGAGTCAATCTACACAGTTCTTGTTGATTGACGGTTATTCAAGTTAAGACCTTCTGACCATCAGTGATGTTCTTGGCTGAAAGGCAGGATCGCAAGTGTTGGACATACTGGTGCAAATCAGGAATGCTTCTTCTGGGATTAAAGCTGCGACACCTGATCCACTCAAAAGAAAACAGAATTGTACACGCACACACGGACCGAGCATGCAAATACACCGGGAACCAGCTACAGCTTCATGGGACAAACACATCGTGGCAATACAGAAGTTGGCCTGTTATTCAGAAGGCTCCTTAACAAGGAAGGGGGAAAAAACCACACAAATATCAAAAACTGAGAATATTCATTTTCCAATATTTGAAAACAGGAAGAGCTTTTGAAATTACATTGTGTTGGCAAACTCTGATTTTTGGGTAACAAAGCAAAAGGTGAAGGCAAATTTTCCAAAGTATTGTAAAATTTATTGTATAAGTATTGCAGCTTTTAGAATGACATATAATTTCCACTATCGGTTACCGTTACACAATAAGCGTTTACAACAGATTTTTGTAAATTGGCATCAGAGTACATATTCATACTAAAACAGCAAAATATAGATAAGTACTGCATTGCATGTGCTGTCAATAGTTTACATAAGTTTAAACTTGAACAGAACTCAGGATACAGGACTGCCTATAACAAACTCCAAAGCCAAAGCAATGCAACTGGAAGTTTAAGAAAATATTAATACAATGAAATGTGTGTATAAGGCAGGCAAATTAGGACTTTAATGTTGTCCTTCATGAGCTTCTATAGTACAGCAAAAATCTGAAGCGCGGTTGCTGGAAAACTTCTTTTTGTTTTTTGTAGCTTTGTGTCGTACACAGAAAATCTCTGAGCGATACAGAGACAGAAGAGATTAAAAATTCATTCTGTTCCCGCCTAGCACTGTTAACGCTACACATCTGGATTCAGTCTTTTCCCAATTCTTAGTAAAAATGTTGGGCTTCTGTTTTGTTATTTTTTTAATATAGCAGTTAGTGCAATTTTATAGTTCGATACGCATACAAAAGGGTGATTCTCCAGAAAGCAACTGGATTTCCTTATACCCCAGCTTAAGATAGAATGAATCTTGTAACACTTATGGAAACAACGCACTAGATTAGTAAAGCTGAATCTTCAAACTGGTGAAATTGGGAGTTGTGAAAGGAACAGAAGTTTTACTGGTGTCCGCCCCAAATGAAACCCATCCTCCTTCACCATCCTGATCGACAAAGCCACATTCCCATTCCAGGCCATTAAGATTTCGGGGCACTTTAAGGATGCTGTTTGCCGTACTGCGACCTAAGAAACTCGCCGAGATTAAGAACCCCTTTTAAAGCTAACGTGACTCTGAAAACTTTGAGCAAAAAAGCAGGCTAGGACAAGAGGTTGCTAAGCATTAGCAATGCCTTGTTTCTTCTGCATTTGTTTAAAAATAAATCATTCTTAAGGGGCCTGAATCCCTCTGCTGGCAGCTGCAAGATGCTAGAGACTCCTACAGAGCAGGACCACAGTCCAGCTTCTAATACAGATCTCTCCTGAGCTGCATGAAGGCCAGAAGGAAAGGAGTAGAGACATCAGCAAGGGTGTGCAAAGCAAATTCTCTGCCTTGGTGGCAATACGGGATGTGGGGATAGGGAAGAAATGGACCCCGAGGCAAAAAAAAAGTAACATTAAATAGTAATAATAATAATAACAATAACAACAACAACAACAATAATAATAAAAAAGAACAGACCATTATTTCTAAACATCCATTCAGAACTTGCAAGTTGATCTGGGCCCCGGATCTGGTATCTGCACTCGAAATACACAGTTCTATGGGACTGAAAAGCAGAGGGACGGACAGAAGAAAGACAAAAGGTGACAGCTTGGCTCTGTTGAGGTGGACTCGAGTTGCACCCGCTGCCTGGGACCCGGGGCTCCCCCCGAACCACTCCCACCGGCACTGGGAAAGGCAGCAGCTCAGTTTATGTGCATGACTGGGACTGAAAGGCATCATTTGCAACAGAAATCTGCTGTTGATGAGCCACCCCATTTCACACTCATTAAATTCCTCAAACTAGAAAAAGAGGTAAATGAAACTGGACCCAGAACTCAGCAAAATGATCACTCAACTGCAGATGCTTGGGGTGATGCTTGAGAAATAAAAGCTCCTGCTGGGAGTGGATTGGGGAAAAGAGAATAGGAAAAAAACCAAGAGAATCAGTTGAAATTTTGAGGACTTAAAGCATGAGAGCTGGGTTTAATTGCACTGCATTTTGAGACCCACTCCCCCTCTGCACCTTTCCAGCCCCTACCCACTCCCCCACCTCTCTAAGGGGTCGGTGGCCAGGTGACACCACATGACAAGACAATCCCATGACTTCACAACCTCCAGCCCCCATGACACCTCCTTATTCACTGCTCAGTTTTAGATGTGTGATGCATATTCCACCCAAAACCTGCTGAGGTAACCAGGGTTTTTTTGTAGCTAACAAACTTAGTACAGATCACAGAATAACAACCCCTTTTTTTAAAAAAAAAACCCCAACCCCACTATTCACGCATTTTGGCTCAAGAGGGCAGTAGATATTATATTTCAGTTTCTCTTTTGGTTGGTATCTCATTTACAATATCCACCACAGTTTCCTACCTCCCCGGGTAGGATAATGTGCATAAATGTGTTCAAGTTCCCTTAGGAACAGGCGGAGAAGAGCAGCGGCACCGGAGCTGCTCCGGGGAGCAGGCAGTGCTGCCGGGAATGAAGGGACTGGATGAATCAAATGCAAGGTCCAAAGGAGCAAGAGACCAGACGCTGGTTACTTGTGACGCTAACGATGATTTTGTTTTCCCCTCTGTAAAAAGGGAGGGTTACTGTTTCTTTAATAAGGCACTAAATAGACATGTTACATAAAGGAAAGATACATTTTAAAAACTCGTATAAATTCATCACTTTTGTACCTTTCATGACAAACTAGATTTATTCCTTTGCATGACTTTTTTTTTGTGGCTTTTTTTTTTTTAGGTCATCAAAATTTAGGTTACACGACTGTAAAGCTATGAAGATTTCAAGAGCTGTGGAAAAGCAGTTTGAAATATTGAGAAGGTACAGGACTATTTCTAGGCAAAAAAAAAAAAAAAAAAAAGGCAAAAAAGGATGATCAAACTTCAAGTTCAGCTATTCATCATCTTTAAAATATATATAAATATTGTTCAAATGGTCAGAACTTCAAAACAGTTCTCATGGTTATTTTTTATTTTCTTTTTTTTTTTTTTTTTAAGTAATAGAAAAGTTGCTTAAAAACAATAGTTATTGCCTTTATATCTTTCATTTATGTCACTCTACTAGATAGCATCTTGCGGAAAATGAAATTACACCTCCTTGTAAAATCTTCGCTCTCTGTGGTTCCCCTACCGACCCCTCCTCGCGCTCGGAGAGACGCTCTCCCGGCCGGGGAGACGGGACCAAGGACGGGTTTATCCCTTTTGCTTTCTCTCTCGCGCGCTCTCAGGTTTCTCACTCGCTTCACTCCATCACATACAAATTCGCCACGAGGGTAAAACACCTACCAGACACCTACACAATATAAAAATGTAAACAATAGCAGAGTAAGACAAAATGCTTCCAAAACCAAGATAAATTAAAGACGCACAACACCCGGCGGGCAGGAGGGCAGGTGGGACTGTGCTGCTGTGGATGAGGACATCTTCCGAAGAGGTAAAAGGGGTTTGCTTCTAAAGCGTTAAGCGTATTTCTTTAGCCTTTAATTAATACATCACAGGAGCAGATTCATTTCCATCTACTGTACCTGACGCCTCTTTAGCTAGGATAATAAAGTAAAAAAAAAATAGCGAGGACCAGAGGCAGCCCGGGGGATGTCGGAGCTGCGAGAGACGGCTGCGCACGTTTATCCTAAATAGAGGTTTGGGAGGTTAATACAAAATGAAAATCACTTTCATCACCACCACACTTTTCAGCCTGTACTTTCAATAAGATATTTAAACCCCAGCCAAAAGGCAGCCGGTGGGTACGTTACCATTTACTCACATTAACTTCCATTATCACCGCTTTACCTCTAAATAAGGCCCTTCAGTTGAACATTGAAAGAAATAAACCAAAAAACACTTGTTCCTTCAGACACAGAAGTTTATTCTCATCCCTATCACCCCCCTCCAAAAAGTTAGAGGTTGTCCAAAAAAAAAAAAAAAAAAAAAAAATCAAGTAATTTTTGTCTGCTTCAGTCATTACTGACTCTCAGAAGCAGGGAGTTTTTATTTTACCTTTTTACTCCAATAATCCTACTGGATGACATACAGACACACACCAGCTCCTCTTGCTTTGTAGGGAATGTATAAAGCCGTGACTGTTGGCGGCCACGCGCAGGGACTCTGGAAATTAAGGATTTGCATAAGATGCAGTCTGGCTCACCGCTCCTCCCAGGGCTGGCATCTCCACTTCAAGCATTTTTCCACCCCCTTCCAGCTACTTTGTTCTTCACTTTGACATATATCCCTTAACAGGTTCATGGTAGACATGATAGAGGCTTTGACCAACACAAGCACTGACATATTTATATTAAAAAATAGTGCAAAATTTCAACATTTATATAAATAACTCTAAACCCCTGCTTTTGATTTTTTTTTTGTTTTTTGTTTTTTTACAATGTAATACACGCTTTTTGAGTTGGCACTCAAAAAATTGCCATTTTTCTTCTAGTTCAGAAAACAACTTTTTTTTTTTTGAATAGGCCTCTTCTAATACAAAAATACTCCTGCTCCTTACACATACACTTTCTCTTATTTTTAATATATATTTATATATTTATATTGCAGATCTTTAAACAAAATGTTTTTGTGCAAATATTTTGTCTTTAAAGATAAGTGAAATAATCAAACAAACAAAAAAAAAAAGCATTCACACACAGCTCAACTAGAGAAAAAAAAAAAAAAAAAAAAGGACTACAGTTGATTTTTTTTTTTCCTTTTTAAACGTCTAGACACAGCTCAATAAAGAAATGTTTTTGCAAGCTTGGTAGGCTTGTGCATTCAGACCAGACATAACAAGTAAATATTTATACATGGAGAGATAGGGAAGGGCTTTTTTTTTTTCTTTGCTCATCTTCCTCATCTCTCTCTCTCTCCTTTTTCTTTTAACGAGAAGTGCAGAGTGTTTCATTTACTTTCTTGCTTTTTTTCTATTTTTTTCTTTTCTTTCTTTTTTTTTTATTTTTTTTTTTAAAAGGGGTGCCCTTTTTGTTTCTCTTTCTCTTTGTTCCACGCGGTTGTGCTCTCAAGGCCATTGATTTGTGAATGATGGAGTCTGCTGCCCTCCAAGATGGAAGGCATCCCGTTGTTGTTCTGCTGGTGCTGGTAGAACGTGGAGCCGGGGTAGTGCCCTATCACCTCGCTGTACGTCGGCGGCGGTCCCTCCATCCTACCATTGCTCCCATAGCAGGTCGCGCTGATGCCAGAGTTACTGCTGGGGGGGCACGGCCCCCCGTACACGGAGTTATCTATCAAGTCACTGTCAAAGATGGTTCTGTTGGGGGGAGCCCGGACCGATTCTCTGTTGAGCTCCATTTGCTGCTCGGGGTCGCGCAGCTGCAGCGTGCAGGGTCCCTGGTACGGGGGGGGCTCCTCGCCATCCGACAGCGAGATGGTGGGCGGCAGGTCGATCTCGTGCTGCATGTAGGGGTAGGTGGGCTGGAATCTGTTGAAGCGGTCCCTCTGCAGAAAGGACGGCACTGCCAGGCGGTCACTGGGTCTCGGGGTGTAGATTTGCTGCTGAAGGGGAGAGAAAAGAGAAAGCGGGCGAGAAGCGTGAGACACCACAGCCCGGGACGGCGGGAAAGGCAGCGGCAGCGGGCCCCCCACCCGCCC